AAATTGTCATTTTGGGCCAATTAGATTTGGACTAGCACTAATGGTCCAAAAAGTTTCAGTTTGTTGCGAGTTTGGTCCATTTTGGTTTTAAATGATGATTTTTCCCTTTGTATTTTGTTTTTTCAAATTTTTATTACATAAATCAAAAAAGAAAAGAAAAAATGCTCTCTCTCTCTCTCTCTCTCTCTCTCTCTCTCCCCACTTCTACAACCTTTTCCCCTTCTATCACCTCCATCGTATGAGATCAAAGAACAGGGGATTTTCCGGCAACCACCAACACCAGCCGGATTTTCTGGTAACCACCAACACCAGCCGGATTTTCCGGCAACCATCGTAAACCATCGCCACTAGTTCAACACCACCACCAACATCGATATTCTGGAAAAAACCATTGCCACAACAGATATGAAAATCTAGGGAGGACGACAGATCTATAGATTCCAGATTCGACGCCGCTGCAAACCCTAACAACTTGAAACAACCGTCGCTGCAAACCGGAGATAGCTTGGGTCGATTTGACACACCCACAAACTTGAACAAGGCCAATGATATTAAAAACACACATACACACACACACAAACGCCACAACAGATCTGAAAAGCTAGGGAGAGGAAGTCGTCGCCGCCGTCAGCAAACCTCCGTAAAGATAAAGGGTTTCTCTGGCTTCACCTTTGTCTCCTTCGTCGAGTCACATCTGGATTGTATGCATCTGCTTAGAGATGTGAAGAAGAAACGGGATGCACAAACCCTAACAACTCAAAACCACCGCCGCTCCGATGTTCAACTCGTCGTCTGGGAGGGACGTAGATCCGAGAAACGGGGCATTCAGTGAAGAAAGAACTGAGAAAGAGGGACGAACTTAGTCAGGTTTGTTATCGTGTTCGTCCATGTAGGGTTTGCAAAGGTGAAGTCGTCGTCGGAGCAGAGGAGATAGAGGACGACCCATCTGAAAACCCTATCCGCCAAGAAACCCTAGCCGCCGAAAAACCCCTTACTTCAGATCTTGATCTCCTTTCTCTCGTCGTCAGCTGTCGAGGTTCAAAGGGAGGGCAATAACGATCGAAGCGGGTGTTTGGGTGTTGCTACCTGACCGGACGGAGGCGGAGGGCAGCCTAGCCCGACAGCAGCTGCCGGTTTCTTCTTCTTTGGCTGGTGGTAAGCAAGAAACGAGAGAGAGAGAAAGAGAGAGAGAGAGAGAGAGAGAGAGAGAGATAAAGAGAGAGAGAGAGAGAGAGAGAGAGAGAGTGTGTGTGTGTGAGTGAGTGAGTGAGTGAGTGAGAGAGAGGGTAATTTCTTTTTTCTTTTTTTTATTTATGTAATAAAAAAATAAAAAAGAAAATACAAAGGGCAAAATCGTCATTTAGAAAAAATTAAACCAAAATGGACCAAAATCGCAACAAAATGGAAATGTTTGGACCATTGGTGCTAGTTCAAACTTGTTTGGCCCAAAGTGGCAATTTTCGACATATACCACATGAACCATTCTAGCAATTTTGTCTTTCCTTTACTCTTGTTTTTTTTTGTATTGCTATGGTCGGAGTTCGGTTCTCCCCTTGAGTTTGCATATCTATGCTTAGGTCCCGTTTGATAGTTTTTGTCCGGGAAAGTGCTGTCTGGGAAAGTGTTGTATGGGAAGGTTTTCTGACTGGGAAAGAAACTATGTTGTTTGATTGTACATCTGATTGACTATGCTGAATGATAAAAAATGACAATATTACCTTGCTGTTCTATATTGTGATGAATGAAGTTGCTGAATAATTATAAAAACTTACAAATTGTCATACAAAATCAAAATTAAATAATAATAATTTAAAATCCAAATAGAATGCCGATTAAGTTGTTTTTAGTTTTTTTTTTCAAGTTAATGTTACGTTGTTATTCTTTCTAGCAATTTTAAAATTTTTTTATAATTCAACATGCAATTCTTGACTCGGTTTATGTCTGATAGTGGTGGGATGGATGGATTTTTTCAAAATATACTAGGATGATGGTAGTGTTGTAAAAAAAATAAATAATAATAAGAACTAATCCAATAAAAATGAGTTAAAAAAATTAACTAAAAGAAATTAATAATCTAATAAAGTAATATTCTAATTCTAATAAATGATTGTCATAATATTATAACTTATCATTAGTATTATATGTCACTTATCATGCCACTTGTCAACCTATTAATTATCCATTTCAAATTTCAAATTTTAAATTTACCATTCTAATTTCATTAAATTAATAATTGATTTTCCATTTTAAATTTCAAATTTTAAAATTTTTCACTTTAATTATATTAAATTAATAACATTAGAATAAAAAATAAAAGAAAATTAATACAAATGATAGGTTGATATAACTTCACGTATTTATTTTAATCATTGATTATAATTTTATATAACTAAAAAAATATCTCTTAAGCAATAATTTATTTAAAATAGAAAAAACATTATAAATGGTCCCTGTGGTTTCCCAAAATCTGAAGTTTAGTCCCCATGGTTTAAAAACCTCATAGATGGTCCCTGTTGTTTCAAAACTTTTGACGATTGGTCCTTATTGCTAACTCCGTTAAGTTTGTCCGTTAACTGAAGGGTATTTTTGTCATTTCACTACAATAGGGACCATTTATGATGCTTTATCTTATTTTTTTCCTCTTCTGAATCTGTGTGAAATTTCCACTTCGTCTTCTTCGAATCCAAATAACAAGAATCTACAGTATCTAATCATGGCGATAACCCCACCGAGGATGGAAGCTGAGAGCTCAAGATCGCTCCCGTGGTTCACAATTTGTTCTTCGAGAAACTCAATTTCAACCCGGCAAGCCCTAGCGTCAAGGATCCCCAATTTTGTAACGAAAAACTCATGGAATTCTTCCGAATTTGGGATGTTTCCGGTTCCGATTTCGTTTAGTAGCTTGAAGAACTTTAATCGTAATGATTCAACGCATTTATCTATGAACAATTTGTTCCGCCTGGATTGCTTTTGTAGTAAGTTTATCTGTTCTTTAACGTCATCGCTAATCAAACAATTCAATTTATTCATGGGGAAAACATCTAAAAGTGTGGAGATTTCTTGATTAAGATCATGAAAATAATCGGTTTAATTTTCAATATTGCTGGTTGAGAACCAAGGGAACATGTCTCCGTATTCATCTGATCGGGTAATGAAAGAGAGATATTGGGAGGTTAAAGGTTGCTTAACCCGATGGAAGGAAGCACTTTTGGTGCTTGACTGGACCGAAGAAGGAAAGGGGAACGGAAGCAGCATGGCTGCTGGTGGTCTCGGTGGGTGCAGTGTGGGGCTGCTCAAGTAGCTTCTCGACTACTTGCTTCTGCTTCGGCAATGGATCACGAAGGGAAAGGGGAAGGTTGGTCTGAGAGGATCAAGAAAGCAGCAACAAGTCAGGTGCAGGGGAGATGCGAAGGAGGCTGTTGCCTTCTTGACTATCGGAAAACTCCACCTCCAGTGGAGATTTATTAACTGAATCTAAAGAAAAGAGGAGGGGTGAAATAGATCTGCATAGTGCTTTTAGGGGGTGTTCTTGGAAGCTTCATCAGCGGACAGATAAGGGAAAACGAGAGAGAGAGAGAGAGAGAGAGAGGTGGGACCTTTTACATATTAAATAATTATATTTAATTTTCTTATTTTTTTTTTAAAAAAAAAGAGAAAACATCATAAATGGTCTCTGTGGCAGTGAAGTTACGAAAATACCCTTCGGTCAACAGACATAACTTAACGGAGTTAGCAATAAGGACCAATCTTCAAAAGTTTTGAAAGCATAGGGACCATCTATGAGGTTTTTAAACCATGAGGACTAAACTTCAGATTTTGGGAAACCACAGGGACCATTTATGATGTTTTTTCTTTAAAATAATTGATTAACAATTTTGATTTTTAAATATGAAAGTTTAATTAATTTTATAACTGTGGTTCTCACCGGTTATAAACTAGTTTATTAATATATAAATATTATATATTTATAAATAATATTTTTTAATATATAATAATCCAATAAAAAGAATTAATCCATTAAAAAGAAATAAAAAAATTATTTAAAAGAATTTAATATTCAAATAAAATAATATTAATTAATAAATAAATATTATATATTTAAAATAATATTTATTAATATATAATAATTCAATAAAAAAAATTAAAAAAATTATTTAAAAGAAATTAATAATGCAAGAAAGAAAGAGGCAGAGTTTGAGCACAATTGTCTTTCCAGCCTATTCAGCCAGAAAGATATGGTTTTGAAGCTTTCTGGAAAAGACATATCTTACCCGGAAAGACTCATTTTTGCGTGAATATCAAACGGTCTTTTCGGTCCATTCAGCCAGAAAGATCTTTTTGGACCTGGAAATATGTTTATCAAACGCCTTACATTGTTTGTTGTTGGCGTTCGCATAGATGTCGATATCATCTTAACCGGGTTGAAGAGGTGGATGGTGCGTTCTGAGGTGAGTCCCATTAAACGACTATAATTTTATTAAAACAATTTAAAACTTATTGCACCATGAACTTTGATAATTAACAAACTACTTTGAATTGTGGAGGAAACTCGATGTTAGAGCTTTTTCTAATATCATATTTTCACGGTTTGATTCATTTCGTTATTGCACAAATTACTTTTCATGAATTGTATCGAGTATAAACAAAAAAAAACTCTGTCCTTTTTTCTTTCTTTCTTTTTGTATGCCGAATGTTTCTTTTAAAACAGTTTCGGCTCCCTTACCTCGTTCTTATGAGACTCAAGGTTTTGTCATTGTTATTATTGTTATTGTTAATTTTAAACACTAACAATACCAAACTCTTTATATATAAAACTATAAAAGGACCGGTGTTTGAATCATCAAAACTCGAGGACATTAACTATAAATCCTCACAAAACCGAAAACCTCATTTACAATAACACAAACTAAAACTATATACATGATAAAGAACTGATCTAACCAAAAAAAAAAATGGTTCAACCGGTACAGACCAATAACCATGCCATCGATATCTTGATACTAACCAGCCAACAAATATTCTCGAAGTTTTTGCACCTCATACCATGAATTAAGAACACCTAACGTTTTATCTGTACCTGAGAACGCTAACTGTACCTTAAGATTACAATCAACAGATCCGCCATTAATGTCACACTTCGAGATTGGTATAGCACATTCTTGATTTTTCATGCAAACGCCTGATCTTTCTGCACACGATTTACACCCCACTTTCTTCCAGTGTAAGTTTATAAGCCTGCCTTCTTGGAATTCAAGAACCTTTAAAGATCAAAAAGGGTTGAATTAATCGATAAAAATGAATTCAAATCAAAGCTTCGTGCACTCGTGTACTCATGTACTCATGTTCTACAGTTATACTGATCTTACAAGAGTGAAACTTGTGATGATGTTTGATTTATCAGCGACTAAAGTAGGTATCGATCTTGCAGCACACTGTTTTCCAGCGAACGCAACCATATATCCACCAGCTTTCTCCTGTAAAATTTCTCAAATGTCGTTAAAGATTAATTCAAGAGAGTGAAATGGTGACCTACCGGATCAAAGTCGGTGTTAGCGGTGAGGAAAGTGAGTTCGTCAACTTTTGGGCGGAAGACGGCGAGTTTAGCGTTTCCACGGAGGGAGAGGCGGCGGTCGCAGGGTGAAAGCTGAATTTGGTTGGAGAAGAAGGAATCCTTGGAAGAAAATGCGATTCCGAAGGTAAATCCATCCCATCTTCGAACTTTTGTATCTGAACATGGATTGAAAACGTGGTTTGTATCTAATGAACGGACGGCCATTACTGTCGCCATCATGATCGCCGGAAACATCATCTTCACGGCGGCCATATTGGTTGCCCAATTCTAAACCATAAGAAACGAAGAAAACAAATATTGTTGTTATAAAATTTTCTTTGTTTGATGTAATCTGAAGGGTTTTAGGGGACTTTGGTTGAAGTTTCGCTTGAAAGGTTAGAAATCGAGTTTGAAACGGTTTAATCGGCTGTGCAGGTGGATCTTGTCCTAAAAGTAGTTATGGAAGTTGAAAAAACCTTACCAGCAAAGAAAAGAGAAAAGAAATTACTATTTTTTTATTTTTTCATATTTTTTATATTTTCACTTTTAGGTTTTTGCTTTTTAAAAGTTTTAAGTCAAATCATTGTTACATTTTGAACTATATACGTTATTTGGAGAATATCTACCATGGATAAAAATGGTTTAGTACAAAGTATAAAACAAAGTTCTTCCCAAGTCTTAAAAAACGTATGTAGTTAACTGGTTATATGGATAAGACTGGAGGGTGTGGTGCGGTTCCAGGGAGTGCGGTTTCGACACATAAGCAGCGAACACCGCCCCCTGGGTGCGGTTTGGTGCGGTTCAAACCGTAGTGCGGCAAAAAATGGCCGCGGCTTGTGATTGAGTGTAGATAATTTGACTGTTTTGTGATTGGGTGGGGAGAAATTAAAGTTTTTATTTAATTTTTTTTTTAAAAATAAAGTGTGGCACCACTCCTTGGGTGTGGCAAGGAACCACACTTTTGTGGTAAAAATGACGTGGTGCTTACGTGGCAACAAAGAGAGTGTGGTTTTGGTGACACCACTCCCTCCAACCTAATGACGCAGAACACCACGGGAAGTAAACACACAAAATGCTGGAAAGAATGTTTTTATTGAGTATCACATGAAAAATTGAAATTAACAATAAATTCATAAAATTTAACAACTAAATAAAAATGGAAAAAAAAGAGAAATTCTAAAAATGACATATTCTGTCATTAAAACGGAATCATACAAATTATTGAAATTGACATAAATTTATGAAAATCACAAATTGGAGGCCTAAACAATGAAATTTAGAGGTCGGCCAAAGGGTAGATCACATAAGAAACCGAGCGCATCCAATGGAGATTAAATTACATTTGAAATATAGTTGAAGAGGGTGATGTTTGTATTCGTAAAGTTCATACAGATCAAATGTGGCAGACCATATTCACAAAGCCACTACCACCAGCTAAGCATGAGTCATGCTAGAGCTATGGGGCTTCGTTATTCTAGTGAATGAATTTGATTTAGCATTAGTATTTGAATGTTGGAACATTGTAAACAACAATTATGTAATGAATATGATATATGAAGATATGCTTTCATTAATATTTGTTATGTTCTATATTACCATGTTTAATCCATGAATAAAACTACTTATTCTAAAAGGTCCATAGTCGATTATAATTGTGGGAACATATATGAAGGAAGACTAATATGAATTGGACTGGTTGGATTTCATAAGTTGAAATTAACAAAGGGTTGCAACCAAGTCATAGATATTTGTTGGGGAAAAAAATATTAGACATGAGTTGTTTCAAAATCACTTCATGGATCGTTGTTACGAGTGACTCATAAACAAGGTAGTATCTTTGTATCCTTAGACTTGAGATACATATTAGGGACTCAAATGAAAGGATTATTATGCTTTGATATGGTTCTTCCATACTCTTTAACCAGGAAGTCATAAGGTCATCATTAGGTACAATATGATCTACATAAGAGACATATGTTGTCAACAAGGTATTTGTTTATCTTATGTGTTGAAAGTGAGACATCTAAGGCGCCTGACTAAAGTTGAACACCAAATGAGAATGATTATGATCCATGTTTCATGTTTAACATGATTTACGAAACAAAGGGATAACTGATATATCACCTAGGTACTTCAATTAAAGTTATGAGCTCATGGGAATTGAATGTTGTTGAATGACACTTCATCATGTGTTCTTGAGGGCAATGAAATATTATTAGATGTTCACTACTGTCTATATGATTCTATGATTCAATCTTGCGCAAGTAGGAGATTGTTGGTTCTATATGCTCAAGAATGATCATAAAATAATATTGTCAATAACATATGATCTTATAGGGTCAGACCAATAACAAGTAGACATCAATAAAATAATATTCATGTCATTTCGACATAAGAAGAATATTATTATTCCTTGTTAATATTATTCATAAATGTTCCAATAAATAAAAGATGCGAAAATAGAAGAGTCTAGTTTATTTAATCATAAGATGATTTAATTTGTAATTATAAATTAAAAGAGGGACTAAAGTAGTCAAGTTTAACTAGTTAAAGTAGTGACTTGTAACTGGTCAAACTAATAAGGGTTAGAAAGAGACATATGCATGGCTAGCTTTCTTTTTTCAGTGGTTACATGCATATCTCTCTTGTGGTTAGTTACTTTTGCAATCATCAAGATTTAGTCATATATATGACTTGATTTTGGTAGATATGATGCACAAAAGAATACTAGCAAGAAAACAAGTAACTTGCTATCTCTCTCTCTCTCTCTCTCTCAACTGAACACACACATAATATGTGTGTTATGTGTATGTTGTTGGTGTTTTTCCTTTTTCTTTTGAAGATCAATCTAAAATCTTAGTTTTCGCATTACCTCTCTTGGAACAAATGTCGGTCTTTTGTTTTCATGATTAAGAGGACCTTTTTGGCAAGATGGAACTAACATTCCAAGATTGGTGTCCAAGCTTGTTGGTGGACTAACTCTAAAGGAGCTCTATTTTGGGTTCTTGCTTTCATTATCAATGATCAGCCTCCCAAGAGGACCAAGGGACAACACATTTTTTTCATCTTATCCTTCTATGGTTGTTTGATATAATTTTTTTGCATGTACATGTAATGTGATCTTGTATGTTTTTATGATGTTCAAGTTTTAAATCAAAGTCTTTCGTTGCAAAGAAAATCAACATTTTAAAGTCTTTGAAAACTCGATCTTGAACACCATGTTTCCATCAAAATCTTAATTCCTTTAGAATGTAACAAAGATGCTAAAAATCTTTCTTATGGTAGAATTTGTTTACTTTTTAAGCAAGGTCGACTGATTAGACAGTATGGAGATTTATTGGAAAAATAAATCTTTTCTTGTTAGTCTTAAAGAACATAGAGAAGAATGGGCACCTCCCTGCTGTGATTCAGATTCCAAGTCTAATATTGATGATGAATCAGATAGACTTGAGGGTAGAATCATAGACGACGATGATTTTGATGGTGGGGAGAAATGTAAGGACGAGGATCAACATGACATGATTGTAATTTTCCCCATAATGACATTAATAATAGTGATGTTTTTAATATAGTGATCGAAGTTGGTAATTACATGGAAATCATAAGGAGATTTACAAAAAGAGGATGGTGAGATACTTACAGATGCCAGTTCAATTCCTAAAATGGTTTTTGAATGCAAATAAAATATTCAATCTGAAAACTAGAACAAGGATCATGATTTGTCTATGGGTCACATTTTTATAGTTGGATTGCGAGTCACCTTTGGTTCTAGAGAATCTCAAATTTTCTAGTCCTTGTGTTTTTCCGATACAGACTGACCATTTAGGGCTTGATTCTATGTTGAAGATGAATTTTATTCCTGATCGACTATTGGTTCTTCAAAAATCATGAAAGGTTGAACTTGAAAGCATCATTTGTAATCTTTGAAGTTTAAATGCATTATTAGAACATCCAAAGGAAGAGGTATTCGATCAAAAATTTTTGAGCCGAGTGGTAATTATTCAAGGGGGGGGGGATGGGTTTCATTCATTATTCGAGAAGCATAAATATTAATCCAATTACATCTTTGAATTCAAATTATGTGGAAGTTGAGAAAGCCAAGGCTCTAGGGATTGATTTGGATTTCAATTGAACGACTCTTGTAATTCTCTTAGATATATTATTAAACGAGAAGGTGGTCAAGATATGCCTTAATGAATTGCTTATCTGTAAAACTTAAGGTGCAAGTGATTTGTATAAGGCACATTGGATTCTGGATCTCAAAACTTTGCATTAAATAAATACCAAGGAAATTTCGGTGGAGAATAATTGGATAATTCTAACTTTGAGGCTATTTTGGATGTATCTCAAGGTCATTATGGTGTTCTAATGTAACACCATATTTTCTGTTTAATTATTTAATAGAGGAATATAGGTATAAACACAAATAAATAAAAAATATTAATGATAATTAATAATAAAAATTAAAAAATGAGTATTTAAGGGAATAGTAATCATATTTAAGATGATGAACTAAAAGGGTCCATGTTAGAAAACTTAGAATGTAAGGGTTTTGGTTGTGGGGTTGATTTGTCATTATGTGATAAATCACAGACCAAATGTGTAAATTTTGAAAACCAGCCATGTGATTACGGGAATAGGGCTGTCATGTTTTGTTTTTGCCCAAGCCCTATAGAATACACGTTTAAACCATATTTAAGCCCAATCCCAAAATTATGAAGAGTGTGTGCGTATTTTTGTGCTTACGGACAAGAAGAAGGAATCAGGCGAGATAGAGAGAGAGAGACATAGATAGAAAGAAAGAGAGAGACATAGAGAGAAAGAGAGAGAGAGAGAGAGAGTAACAGGATCGAGAAGGGGAAGATCGAACAAGGCTAGAACTCATGGTGCTCAAAGAGAGAGAGAGAGAGAGTAACATGATCGAGAATAGGAAGGCTGAAGGGGTGATCGAACAAGGAAAGAGCCGGTGGTGCTCATCTACTCGAGGTCAGTGGTCGATTCTCTTTCCTTCCATTCTTTTTGGTTCGTTTTTTTCTCAAAACACCACCATCACCACCGTGTGACCACCATAGTGTCGTCCTAGGTCGATGGTTCACATCCACCTTATCATTACCACTGTTCTGCCCTTAGTGGGTGGTTGTGATTTGGTTGCTAATTGAAGGTGGGGTTCGTTTGATGAAAAAAATCAATAATATGATGTCATTTTTGTACAAAAACCCTAGGGTTGAAGTTTTCTCATTTGGGTAATGTACTTTTACGTTGGGATTTTTAAA